ACAACTCATCTGGTCTTCGCTCATTAGTGTTCAAGGCCTCAAACCTCTTCCTGAGATGGTTCTGAAATTCAGGTGGGATAGACTCAAAGTCATATTTTGGTTCCCATGAAGTCGGTTTAATTTTCCTCAGCTTCAGCTTGAACTTGCATATGAGTAGTTGACGGTCTGTTCCACAATCAGCTCCTGGCCTAGTTTTCACAGCTGATATTGAGCTTCTCCAGTGGTTCAGTAATCAATTTGATTTCTATGCATACCATCAGGTGAAATCCATGTGTATAACCTGCATTTATGTCTCTTAAAAAACATATTTGCAATGAATAAGTCATGGATTGTGCAAAATGCAATCATTCTATCTCCAACTTCATTTCTGTCACCAAGTCCATGTTTTCTAACTACTGAATCTTCTGTTCCCAACTTTTGCATTCCAGTCAGCCATTATCAATGCATATTGATTGCATGTTCGATCGATTTCTGACTGTAAAAGTTTTACTTTACAGTCTCTATGTTTCAAAAAATAAATAACTTATATAAAAGCCTACACCATGAGAGCTGGTGGCTCAGAAGTAAGGAGATTCACTGTCAACCTAAAGACATATAGTTCAAATCCACCAATAGCTTCGAGGGAGAAAAACGAACAATTCCTTCCCGAGCCATTTACTGCCTCTGAAAAATCACTGGATGGTCAGCTGGGGTTGGTTTCGACTCGACAGTACACACATCCACCACTACCACACCCCAGCTACTACCACAGACTAAACTTTCAACCCTCACCTAGTCTTGTTCTTAACAATCTCCTAAGTGATTCCCTTGTTTCCAGGTTCAGCTCTTCTCAAACATTCCCTTCATCCTCAATCTTTCTTACAGACTTCAGTCCAAAATAATTCTAACCAAAAGTCATTTCTTCAGAAGGTAGTAAACTACCTAGAGTTCTTAATTTTAAGCTCTAATATACACTTGCTATCTATCTATATACACATATAATGTACATACAGACACACATACATATTTGTGATTGTTGTTGTTGTTGTTATATGCCGTCGAGTCGTTTGCGACTAATAGCAACCCTATGTACAACAGCCCTAAACCCTGCTCTATCCTGTGCCAATCACACTGCCTATGACACACCCATCCCGATTACCCCAGTCACTGAATCAATCCACCTCATAGAGGGTCTTCCCCTCCTGCGCCGTCCCTCCACCCTCCCAAGCATG